TCTTTAATGCAGCCACATTAATTTTTCCTTTATGAATTAAGCACATTTGATGATAACTGAAGTAGAAACATTTGACACTGTGGGCATGTGTGAGTTAAAACAGAGAACTGAGGAAAAATCCAGCGTTTTCAGGTGCTTCTCAGGAGTCCTCAAGTTTTCTTATTTCCCTATTGTGGCGTGTTTCACTAATAAACAAATGGCTGCTCTTTTCTAATTCTAGACGGTGTGTCAGAGTGATAAACTCCTGCTGGGGTCCTAATATGCTTCTTTGTCTTCCCCCACTGATCTAGGTAGGAATAGATTAGCTTTAGAGCCTATTTATCCAGGTTGGTAGTTAAAGTACATGGAAAAAAGAACAAACAATCAATCCATTAGAATTGGTTAACTCTGTGCCTCTAATGTTTTTGGAAGTTAGATGCCCTCTAATCAGCTTTACGCTCTATCAGCACACATTCTGGCAACCAACATCCATTAAACAAGGCCATTGCCCCCATTTTCAAGGATTTTTCTTTTTTCTTTTGCTTTTAGTGTCTGAACATTCGCTCAGTCTTTTTGTATGCAGTCTTGTGTCTTGTCTGATAGTTAGAAAGGACACGCAGTCCATACTGGTAATGAGATTAGGTCAGTGAGAAGGCAAATGCACTACCCTGCAGGTCCCATGATATATTGGAAACGGTCTTATGAAGACGACCACTGTGCTGTGTGTGTGTTTTCAGAAAGGCTGAATCTCTCTTAATTTTGCTATTGTATGCAGTTGTGTAATAAGAAACTCTGGATGATATAAGGTGGAGACATGGTTTATTTATATAGAGCACAAACATAGCATAAAGTTCTTAGAAGCATAGTCAAATAAACAGATTGTCTTCTGTGCTGTAGACACAGACCTGACTCTGAAGATCTGGGTGGTGATCCAAACTTTGCAAGGTGTCAACCTTGAAGAGGATTGCTTGCACATTTAAAGCAAGGACAATTTTAGCTATTAATTTTGGGAAGCGATTAGAGCTTGCACAATAAATAAGGCATCTGATACTGTTGTAGCTTGATGGGTATCTGTGTATATGTAAGATGATACAAGAAGCCGGAGTTCAGAGATGCCAAATTAGGAGCTGCTCAGTTTCTCTCAGGGAGAATTTCATCACAGTTGTGAGCAGCAAAAACAAAGACTGCAGATTTGTACCGAAAATGTTATTTATGTCTTCTCTTGTTAAAACACATGACATAATGATAGTAAACACAGTACTGATATTCTACACTTGCGATGGGTCTTAAACATTATCTTTTGAGAGTTTGTTGAATTGTGATTCAGGTGCAGTGGATGTTCTGTTTGTTTTATATGGTAATGTCTAAATAATCTTCTGAACTGCAGGCACTCTGACACAAAACGAAATGATATTCAAGCGACTCCACCTGGGAACAGTATCCTATGGCACAGACACCATGGATGAGATCCAAAGCCATATAGTCCAGTCATACGCACAGGTGAGCAACCTTAATGACGTGTGGTTGAGAAAACCCAGCTACTGTTAGTCTGTGTATGTCTTAAGCACCTGAGTTAAAGGCATCTGGACTTTTTTTTTTTTTTTTTTTTTGGAAAGCTTCAGCTTTTGCAACCAAAAAAGCCTTTTGGATTAGAGGTGAAATCTCTTCATGAACCTAAAAAAGAAGTCTGGTTGCCTTCAGCTCACCTCCATGCTGATTTGTTTGTGTGCATTAATTGGTGTGAGTGTATTTGTGTATATGAAAATACCGTCCAATATTTTAATTCACTAAAAATAAAATCTATGTAACATTTTTTTAGCACTAATTTTTTTTAGCATCCATATTATAAAAAAAATACTTTTTTTTTTTTTTTGTAAATTTCAGAATAATGATTGTTTAGTGTGAGTGTTCGCTCAGTATTCCTTTAAAACTATAACATATATGTCTAACGATGGACACTGGGTGCACAATTTACTTGACTTTTGAAAATTTGTGCCCAGTATGGGAGCGTATCCAGTTAATTTAATACTTTTTTTCCCCTCAGTGTTTTCCCGCTTATTCCTGCCCCTCTCTGCGGATCAGTTTAATCAATTTTTATATTGAGCTAAGAATAAGTTTTCCAGGAAAGAAGCCCATATTGTCCATTCATCATGCAGCGTCCCTGAGAGACTCCCTGTACTGTAAGCAAGTGTTTCCTCACTGGGTGGCTCAGATCTGGCTGCAGTCTTGACAGAATTATATTGTTCGCTCTCAGCCAGCTCCAAACAGCTGGTCGAGGCTGAAACCATCTGCCCCGCACCCTCATGTCTAATCTCAGCTAATGAAAAATGACTAGTCTTTTTAGCGCAGAACAGCTGAAGCAGTGCTGATCAGCAGTGCCTCTCTCATTTGTGCTATACAATACTTTTTTCTGTACTGTACTGTCACAGTGATGTGTAAAATTTAAAGAGGATCATTTATAATATAGTCTGAAAAAGCCCGCCTAAAGGGCTTAATTTAATCACAACTTTTGCCTACAAGTATCTGTTGTACATTTAGAAGAAATCCTCCATTTATATCTGTGACACTATGTTTATCTGGCTGAATGACATAATAATCTCTCCCTGTATAAAGTTTGTGCACTTACTGTACTCCTGTCAGCTCCTTTCTCTGCTCAGCAGGACTCAAGTCTAATAATAAGCCAAAGTCTAATGCTCAGTAGAGTGCAGTCTTCCTGTCAACTACAGCTGGCTCTGTGGACTGTTGTCATGCTCAGTAATCGCACACTTAAACTGATGGTTGTTGTCAAAAGAGACGAAAATGTAAAAGCCCTCAAACCAAATATAACAAGATAGAGACTGTGCTGCAGTCCTCTCCCTCGCTGTGTCATCTAGCTTGAAGAGGTGTGTCAGATTGATAAGAACTAGCTGTTTCTTACTGTGTCTGCAGGGATAAATATACACAAATAGACATATAAATATACTCCAGATTCAGTTATTTTAGGCACTGAATCTGGTACCTTGCAAACACATATTTCAATATTTCACAAAAATGTTTAAAAGGATAAAAAAAGCGATGACATTTTGTATACAACAGCTCAAAGGTTCATGTAACTGTGCAACACTATGCTGGCCATTGTTCCATTACTCAGTGCCATAACACAGGAACAGCTGAGCCCAAATCTATGAAGTTCTTTTAAAAAACTAAATATTTAATACAAGTCTGGACAGAAACTGTTGTCAGCTGCAGACTGTTTGTTCTTGTTTCAGGCAACTTCCCAGCCACCCAGTGGTAGTGCCACTGGTGCCACGCCATCGCGGAAGACCCAGGCATCAGGCCCAAAGGTGCGTAAGAGCGTTAGCAGCCGGATCCACGAGGCCGTGAAAGCCATCGCCCTGTGCCACAACGTCACACCGGTGTACGAGTCGCATGCCGGAGTAAACGGGGAGACTGAATCTGCAGAAGCCGACCAGGACTTCAGTGATGACAACCGCACGTATCAAGCCTCCAGCCCAGATGAGGTAGATATAAAGCGCAGTGGTTATCCTGGTCGTCAAAGATTAGATTATAGCTATATTTCCACCTCATATTTAGCAGACTTATCTAATTTGGGTGGGTCACAGTTTTCCTCACTTGTCAAAAACAATATTTTATGACTACTTTGGGTTAACAGAGGTTAAGTTGTTGTGATGCAGATTACATTTGGAGTTGGAAGCTGGCAGGGAACGTAAAATAGAAAGCTAATGAATTAAATCAGCACATTGTTAAGATTAAATAACTGTCTGAATTGAACACATTACAGTGCACTACATAAAATTATTTTCTTTACCTTTTTAGAGTCCATTTTTTCTACAGTCACACAGATGTGTTTAAATAATCTGTGTGTGACAAATTGTCACAATACCGCCCTTGTCATGGGTGACGTTTCTGGGTGATTCCCACCTCATTCAGAGTCTTTGGGAAAACCCATAATATATTTTAAAGTCATCTTAAATCTTTATTTTAGCACCTTTTAATATTTTTGTGGGAGAAAACATGCATATACTAAACAAAAGGATGCGGAAAAAGGAGATTTTGCTTTTGAAACAGTCATTGTAAAAATATTTCTAATCTCTTTCTGTGTCATTTATTAGCCATCCTAAATAATCCTGCTTAGTCATAATTATCATTTCACTGGCAGAAAGTCAAAGGTCATGAACTCTTTTTAGAGGTTAAGCTTTTTAATTGTCTATATTAGCTGCCTGAGAATTTACTGCTGTAACTGAAGGAAGAATGCAGCCCGGTCCCCACGAGGATCCTCAGTGTTTCCTTTCGCCATGTAACACGAGAGCTGGATTACACGGAGAACACATAAAACGCAACAAAAAAAGTCAGGCTTTTGTTTTGTTTTGTTTTTTTAATAGTAATTTAATGCAGATTGGAGGAGAGCTAATCTACCCTTAAAGGCCCACTGCAGCATTATTGGCATGTTTATCACCACTGACATGTGAAGGTTCGTAAAGCCTATGTGAGACTGGTTTCTTTTTACCCCCTGCCACCTTTGGCAATCAAAATAAAGATAAAAGTGTATTAAAAGATAAATCTCATTTTTCTGTTTTACCTGCACTACCTCCCTCCAAGTTGATGGGTATATTTATTTATATCCCCCCTTTCTGCTCTGTCTCTCCTCCCTCTATTGTCTCACACTGCTTGGATTGATCAATATTTAATTTTCTCACTGAGAGGATGAGAGGTGTAGATCTGTGATTGTTGGTAGAACTGTCCCTTCCCCTTTCACTCTCTCCTTTGTTCTTTCTCTGTCCTTTCATTTCCCTCTTCTTTTGAATCCTTCGTCTCATTGAGTGCAGCATCCGATCTCAGCCGCTATACTTCTCTTAGTTTGTTTGGCCTGCTCATCATTTTCAGATATCATAAGCAGTCATTATAAAGTGGAAGCTACTGGGATCAGAACAAAGGTCGTCCGACCTGTGGTCTGATTAGAAAAAAATATTTGAGTGTAGCCTTTAAATGTGTGTGGCTTTTTTTTCTTTCCTACATTTTGTCACCTTTCAGGAGCTCGTATTAAATTACTCACTTGGTCTTTCTGGATTGAGAAGTCTGTTGACCATTATTGTTCAGCTGTCAAGATCAGGAAAACTGTGTCACTTCATCTCCAATACAAGAAAAGAAAAGCATTACAGCAGCTGCTATTTCACATTTAATATTCTCCTTTATAAAAAATATTTCTTTGCTACTTCTTTTTTTAATGGCATACATGCAAGGCACGTCAATTTGACAGTGCCTGATCCTTCCAAGTTTGCAAAATGCTGTTGAAAAGCCAAGAACAAGAGAAATCCTTGTGAAATTCCCCCTAAGGTTCATGTCATGGGAAACACCAGGTTGGATCCATTCAGTTCCTGCAGTTGAAAAGCAGCTGAGCTGGTGGTCACTGGCTATTAATATTTGACTTCTTAGACTCTGTCATAGTGTTGATAATTTTTATTTGGAGCTAAAATCAAAAGCTTTGTGAAGATAACTCGGTGTCAAAAAAAGATGAGATACATTATGTAAACAATATGAACATGCTGGGACAATGCTTTTTAATTTAGCTTTGCAGATTCTCAGGTAAATCCAATTCCCAAAGTTACAAAAAATAATTTAGGTTCAATTCATTCAGTTCTAAAATCACCAAACTGCAATGCTTCCTCGCTAATTAAATTGTGTCGATTACACCACAATGATAATCAAGTAAATATACTTTTCTTTCCCTACAAGTTTGCATGTGTCCCTGTGTGCTTAATAACAGGACGGCTGTGAAGGTTTGTTAAACTGGTTATGCAAGAACTTTTACTCAAATGCAAAAAGAAGACGCAAACTAGACTATTTATAGTTTTGTATTTGGGATAAACAAGTTACCAACAGAAGTTTCTCATGAATCCAGATGCACAATTTCTGCTCTGTCTTGAGACCATTGAGATACTCTTTCAAATCTAAAGCTTGTCAAATGATCCCAAAATAAATTGAGCTCTTGAGGGTGCACCCTTTTATGTTGCCAGTGACATTACAGCAGAAAAAATAATTTAACTGTTAAGAGTCCACTTGCCGCTATTGTGATTTACATGGCTGCTAAAACACTGTGAACACAGTTGAAATGATTGATCGTGTTGTTTAAGAACGTCTGCCATTGCAGTAAACTAGTCAGCAGCAGTCGTTTTTTTAGTAATGTTGTAACACACGCAGTTTGAATCACATGCAATTTGTATCAAAGTTGACAAAGCTTTAAATAGTTTTTGTAGAGCTGATAAAGTAGATTAAAAGGACTCTGTTTAATGTCAGCACATGTTGTGTGTCAATTCATGTGTGTCCATGTGCAGCTATGTGAACACACACACACACAGGATAATGGCACACAGATGTGTGTTAAGTAAATATAGGCAGCCTTTTTACGGAGCTCAAAGGGGGAGCAGGAGAAATGATGGGGTATTAACAGGAAGTTCTAATTTGTAGGTCAGAGTATAATAACAACCTTTGAGTGAGCAAATTGAAAATGAACCCATTGAGGATTGAGTCGTGTGCAGCTGAACACTCACTCGGGGGCCGCAGTTCCTGCTGAGGGGAAAAAGAGGAAAGAGAAACAGAAAAACACTTATGTGGAGCTGAATGGGAAGAGCTCAGCAGCTCTGGAGATGCCGTAACACTCTCTCATCCTTTAAGTGCATGTGAAAGTACATTTAATCAGCTTACATGTTGTCAACTTTCATCATTTTCTTTCCTACATAAAGTGATTTTCTCATTAACCTATTAGTTTTAGTAAACATTCATCCTAAAATAAAGATTTTAAGTATTTTCATTTGATCCTCAAACATTGTGAACAAGTATATCTTGTCTGTATCTTGATGTTTTATTATAATCAAAGCATCGAATCTTCCTCAGGTGGCGCTGGTGCGGTGGACAGAAAGCGTTGGTTTGACCCTGGTGAACAGAGACCTGACCTCCCTGCAGCTGAAGACTCCCTCTGGACAGATTCTCTCCTTTTACATCCTGCAGATCTTCCCCTTCACCTCTGAGAGCAAAAGGATGGGCATCATTGTTCGGGTGTGTATAATGATATCCTCCTTGTTGTGTGGTCTGAGTCATGCCTGTTTCTGATATTCCTGCACATAATGAAGGCTAATTTTTAAGATAGGTTTGAACCTAATCGTGTAATTCTGTTTATTGTTGCTTCTGTTTAGCTTAGTTTCCACAGTAATGCCTTCAAATTTAGAAGAAACGTAGCTATTTTTATTTTCCAACTATTTAGGAGGAGTCAACGGGGGATATCACTTTCTACATGAAGGGCGCTGATGTTGCCATGGCGAGCATCGTCCAGTATAACGACTGGTTGGAAGAAGAGGTACAAATTTGAGTCATATCAAAGATTTTACTGGATGCTTCCTTTAAATATAGTTTGGACAGAACTGGATCAAAGAAGCGCAAATTCCATTAAAGTTATTTAGTTAAATTTTGGTTGTTATTTTGTACATGATGTACCCTAAACTGAGCAGGATGAGTTGGTTACACTATTCCTGCACTCTTAGGTGGTCCATGTGTTTGCACACAGTTACT